CCCTAGTATAGTCATTAATAAGTTGGTTGGAACTAAAAATATCGCAAAATTGTTTAGCTCAGTTATTATTGGATGATGTACTTGCCACATCAACATTGAAATCGCCCATAAGGATAATTTCCTTGTGACAGTGTGTTTTTGCAGTCCCTATTTTAGCATTAGTTCCATTCTACCACATACCATTGTTTATACTAATTGCATTTGCAGACTACATTTTTCATCAAACTGCCCAATGACCACTAACCACAAGGTTGCCCAATTGGTTTATTACCCTGATGATGGAGGATGCCTCATCACTACCATATTCATACCACCTCAAGTAAATAGCTCATCTCATGTTAAGAGATTAATAGAGGGTGCATTAATACCCCAATCAAGGGTGTCTGGTAAACAGGCAGTTTGTTTGGTAAATCAGGCAGTTTTTCATAAGTGTGTTTCATTACTGCTGCAAACTCCAATGGAGCAAGACAGTAATCACATCTCTGAAGTTTTGTCATTCTGAAAGGTTATTCAGATTGTAATATCGTACAGTACCATACCGTACATTGATTGGTCATTGGTGACTATAGTCAACTTGCCCGGTGTTTGCTAGGGGGTTTTAGGTTTAGTTTCGTTTCGCTTTGCCTTTTGTTTTGGATACTTACTCCACGGAAATAAAGAACCTGAAGAATGCTACTCAGTCGTGAAGTGTGTTCTTATTAAGCGTCACATCCTGATCTTGTAAGCTTTTAGAGATATAAAAATCGTCTTTTAATTTAGAAAAGAATAGACGCTGTTGGTTAGGCCTGTACCCCACTCCAACAAGAATTGGTTTAGTTAGGTAGTAGAAAATCTATCCACAGAGCTTCTCGTACTTCGTTGTAAAGATCCTGCTTTACAATGTAAGAGATATCATTACGAATATTTAAGCAAACCCCACCCCCTTTAGTTAGTGTAATTCTGTCATTGCGTTCAACGTTGTAATTTTGAATTTCGATTTCTTTGTTGTTCACAGATTTTGGCTATTGGTTTTGGCTAATATGCAAATTTCATCGATTTTGGGTATAATACTCTAGACATTGAGGTGCAGGCAGTGCAGCCCCTTTCGCTTAATGTTTCAGTTACATTATCAGTGTATTTTTATGACGGATTATGTTGATCTGTTATATGGCAGTCTTCTTCGCTAAGCTCTTGGGCATTGTCATATGTGTAAAATGGCAAGTGTTTGAGCAGACATCTTTGGCATTCAAAGAATACGGACACTTGCATGTGTATGATCCACTACCGCCCTCACCAATACAGTTTGCCCCATTCACACATGGATTATCAGTAATAATGCATAACGGCGAAACTACAAGTATAATAAAAGATGTTAAAAAAACAGACACACATAATACCATATTAATTGGAATAAACGCCCCGGGGTGTTTAGACTGAGAAGGGTTTCAAGAGGGTGTGTATTCAGGTGGAGGCGTTTATTTTTTTTGGTGTAAAATAGATACGTATATTCTCAAATAAACGCCACCTAATTCCACTGCAAATGTGGAGCTACAACACATATCTACTGTCAAATGTGTTATTGCTTGATCATAAAGACTTACTGATAAATACGGTTACAAATTAAGCATCAGTTTTCGGTACATCCTGCGGCATACTACAAATCTCAATTGATGGTATTTACAGTAGTTCCCAGAAGAACTCTCATTTCTGGTTTTATTATCAAACTCATTGCAAAATAAATTGAATTATGAGAAGATTTACACACAAAAAATATCGGAAGCATTAAATCGGTGTAGTGTCCTAATCTTCAATACATGAAGCTTTCATCAGTAGCAAAAACGTTAACACAGATAGTAATAAACCAATTGCCATCCTGGTATACACAAAGACTATATCAGCAGTATGGCGCGAAATGCAAGTCAATTCCGTTTGCAAAGATGTCACAATCACAAAAACAAGTAGGGGAGAAAATCAATTCACGAATCAAACATCAATTGCTCAAAACACACCATAAATATAATTCACAGATACAAGGATAAAAAGTACATATCACGAACATCAAAAAGCAGGAATGTCAAAAAACAAAAAAGGAGCTCGGTGGAAGCATTGCTACTCCCTGCCGGCTTGTATGGCGCAAAATGCAAATACCTGGAATTCCGTCAACAAGATACAGGAAAAAACTTGCGTAAAATGCTTCAATATAAGAAAGTATAAAAAAGGTTCACAGAAAAATGAGGAAACCACAGATCAGATCCAAAACATCAAAATTTGATCAAGAATATATCAAGACATGAAACTAAAATAGCAACTGAGGAGCTCAATATAAACACGTCCGCACAACGTATAACGATTAAAACGGGATTCGAAAGGTACTGAATCAAACTCAATTGTACAATTACGAACACATGATAAAATTAAAGGATCCTAAGTAATTTCTTATTTATTATCGATATAACAACCCAATTGACCTGGTACACAAAAGGATTTTGACCATAAATTAAACTGTTAATCCTACTCATATAACTTACCTCTTCTAATCTCGGCTTTTCTTTCGTGGCTAATCTGGCTAACGTAGAATGACGACTTCCTCCACGACCATAACACCTGACCCTGTTGGATGGGTGGTATCCGAGGCTACGTCCTCTCCTATTTGCCTTCTCATTGACCTACTATATTGGCCTTAAAGAGATCATCATCAATTTGCTTTGTTGCGCCATCGCAGAAGAGTTATGTTTTTATTGTTCTCAATGGCCCATAAAGTGCTGCAAACCGTGTATTTAGGTCTGGAAATTAGCAATCCGCATCACTTTAGACTCTATACCCACAGTCAGCCGTCAACAAAAGAACCAGTGCACGAGCACGAGTGGACCTCAACCCATCCGACGACTCTTGGTATGCCCTTTTCAAAACGCCTCTAGCGGTCTGTGCTTTCTCCAATGCAGAATCCACCAACTTTCCTGGCTTCAATTGACTCTAAATGATTGCCCGATTTACTTTGGGCGCTACAAAACTTTCACAATTCTGCGGCCTTGGATATTTACCAATAAGTTCCGCCAACTTCTCCTCTGGTAGTTTTCCTCCAATGAGGTCCAGAACAATAGCAAGCAGTTTTCCAACAATGGCCCGTCCGTTGTGCCTGCAATGCTAAATTCTGCGGCCAAATTCAAAAAAGTAATAAATTGATCTAGATCAGACATTTTTCCCGTCCATCTGTATACTCGTCAATATTTTGAGCTGATTGAGTGGCCAGAAAATCATCCTCTATGATCACTTTCTTAATTCTTGACCCCCTATGGGGCAAGAAGAAATTCTTGAACCTCTCGCATAATATCATCCTTTGTGTCTGCAACCATGGTTAATATTGAGCTCACTAACTCCTGCTTCAACGCTGTGGTCTCATTATTTAGACGTCTTTTCCAGCTTCATCATAGTCCTAGTATATCAAAGGAAATACCAAAATAAAAAATGCGTATATTCTAAACAACATGTTAGATAAAATAGATGTGCCAGAATTACAAGCAATCTTAAATAAAGTAATTCCATAATAGCTGCTGTAGGTCACACATACCATACCGGCCGTCATAACTGCTACCTGTATGTATGTGGCGCCAAAATAGCGCTCACGTGAAGCGTTAATTCCTGCAATTTTATTGTTATAGTACAAAGACAACAACTTACTGTCCCCGCAAATTATAAATTTAAGCATATAGTAAATTATAGTTAATAGCACACAATCTCTGAAGTAAAGAAACAAATAGCTTCCTTTCCCTTTCTCAAATGCTACTAATAACACATACTTGAATAAAACTACTTCAATTATAAGGTGGACTGCCTGAAGTAGCCCCAAACCTTGCCCATACATGGCTCAAAGTGACTGGTAAATTCTCAAACTAACAATGGGCCCCACAACTAAGAATTGTCACCATAAGTGAACTACAGTATAAATATTAATCGATAACCAAACATATTTACCAAAATTGTGAAAACCTGCTTGTCATAATGCACACAACGATTACTGCACTTAATGAGTTCTAGTAGCCTTGTGCTTCAGGGCGACTAAGTGCATCCTTTCATGGTAAACCTGAAGATGGTTTGCTCCTAATATGGTAGAATAGGATAAAAAGGAAGAACCTACATTTGAAATTGTAAATCTAGGTTATTCAGGAGTAGGTTTTGGTTTGATTGAAAGATTGCAAAAAGCAAATAAACAATAATGTTATGAAAATACCGTATTTAATGGTAAAATCAGAGATGCTATTTGTAGTTTAGATGATTTTGTTTAATTATTGAAAAAGTTCATATGCATTTATGTAGATATATGATAGGAATTCAATGTCAGATATTTTTTTCTATCAAAGCTATGGATTATTGTCTTTGGTTTCCGAAAGGTCCACTGATTAATCTCAGATATTATATTAAAGTATTGAAATAATATTCAATATTGTCTTTGGTTTCACGTTAATTTGACAAATGTGATTACATTCAGTTTATTATTTTTATTGTTTGTAATTTTAGTGCAAACCCAATGTGATTTTGAAGATCAATACACCTGTTACTTTGAACAAGATATATCTGATGATTTTAATTGGATAAGAAGATCTGGATCAACACCCTCATCTCTTACTGGCCCTAAGTATGACCACACATACGGAACAACACAAGGTAATAAAAAACTGATATGAAATTGTATTAAAATAAATTATAAATTAAAACTACAAACAAATACGAAAGCACAATTGCAAATATATGTAAAATTAATCTCTTTGAAAGCATGACATTTATTTTACCATTTACTTACAGGTTTCTATATGTACATCGAAACTTCAAATCCGAGAAAATATAATGAAACTGCACGAATTTGGACACAGTCATATCCTGCAACGAATGGCACATGCGTTGAGTGGTTCTACCACATGTACGGCATCACAGTGAACATATTAAATGTGTATATAGTCAATACAGCAAGTACTGTTGGTACACCTGCGTGGACAAAAAGAAACGACCAAGGAAATATTTGGCGACATGGACAAATCTCAGTCGAAACAAACAATGCCTACAATATAGTCTTCGAAGGAATTGTAGGAACTAGTTATACAGGTGATATTGCTTTAGATGACATCAGGATCACTGATGGAGCATGTTTGAGAGACGGTAAAGTACATTTTAATCTTAAAATTCACTACAATAAAACAAGTATTTTAGCCCACTCTCTGAGAGAGCGGGCTTATATGATTATTCTGAGCGAATTTTGAAGTAATTTGTTTTTCTATCTCTTCCTTCGTTTGTTACGCGATTAGGCCAATCTTGCAATAATATGGAAGAGAAGGCTTGGGGAATTTAAAGTAAGAGTTTTTCTGAAAATGTTGTCGGGAAATATGTGAAATTATATGTTTTTATATCATATCTCTTAACACTAAGATGGGTTTCCTATAAAAGCGTGTTCGTCATTGATCAGATTGCAAATCGGCTGTATATTCCACATTGTGTTTATCAACCAATAACGGCCTGAAATGGTAAGCTTTGCGGCTAATAAACGCGTCTGCACGAGTCTAGTTGGTAGCAAAGAATGAGCCGTTCTGTGGTGCTGGCAATGGTGGGTGGTCTTGGTTCGTGGTCTCTCCTCTGAGAGATAAACAATGTACTGTGCCCCCCCCCCCCATTTTAATACTGCTAGATACGCCACAGGTGTGCAGCACATTTCGTGTCAATGTACTGGCCCGTCGAAGATGAATAGGCTGGCTGGGTACGTACATGTGTATGTGTAGGCCTAGGCCCCTAGTCTAGATCAGATACTACAGGAAATAAATGTAGGCTACAAGTGGCTTTTATGTGTATTAAACCACACATTCAAATCAATCCGTAGCGATGAGTGTATGTACAGCACATTTCGTGTTGCCGCACTGTGGTGTGGTTAATGACGAGGACGTTGCCGTTCACGGCCAAACACACGCCATCTCACGGCCAAATTCGGCCAAACTTTTTTTCGATATCGGCCAAAATTCGGCCAGATTATAATCCGATTAGAAGACAACAGTGGGTACATTCTTTTGAAATACTACAAAAATTATACGGAAATCAGCGGTTATTCGTTTGAAATTCAAGAAATTCAAATGATATACACAGAACAATGTTAAAAATGAATAGTCTATGTTCTTTATTTGCTGGCATGCAGGCCAATTCAGGGGCAAATCCAGAAATGTCTGAAAGGGGGAGGGTCGTGCCGAAAGTGGGTCCGATCGAGATAACACCATCTTAGAGGAAGTTTGTCTTTTCTAGACGCCCGAAAATAGCCTGATGCATTTGGGCGATAAATTTTTTTTTATTTTTTTTATTTTTCTTTTTTTACCAGCCTTAAATCCACCTCTGCTATTTAAAATCACAATATTAAGATTATTCTAAATTTGATTTAAATGTATTAAACATTAATGTACATTGTAGTCGATCTATAGCAAAAATTTTAAGGGTCTGTTATTGGCAAATCCGTAGCTATCTTTAATTAGAATGAATTAAGTTACATAGTTAGTTAACACAAACTGGTGTTAAAACAAACCTATGAAAACTTTAATAAATACTTTTTATAACTTTCTAAATTCGCCTCTGAATGTCATTGTCGCAGTACTTTTAAAGCAATAAATCAGTGTTGCTATCAGAATTATCTTCTTCATTCTCATATGCAACCTAACTCCAGTAACTTCGAAGAAGTCTCTCTGCAAAACTTGCTTGAAATTGGAGGTGCCATCAGACCCGAATGATCACATCGAGCATTTGTATCATGGCGCTCTACATAAAGAACACTGCGGCACCTAGGGCTATACAATTCATGTGGGCAATAATAAATTAATTATTGTAGTACAGTATTTAATTTATATTCAAAAGAGATAGAACCTCCGCTAATAAGATAGAACATATACAAAGACACAATATGTGGTACAAACTTGCAATGAATTGTCTTCATAAAGCTTAAACGAGGATAAACTTCATAAACAATATATTTCATCCGAACAATTTAAATTATTAAATGTCGTCTTTTAAATAAACTCTCGTACGTCAAATTGGCTGAACCGGGGAACATAGATTAAGTGTTTAGTGCAAGTATAAACAAAGGTAATAGATTAGAATCAAATATAGAATTTAAGCTAAAAAAAACAAAATATCCAAAACAAGTCTACGTTATATTAGGCCTATATTGAAAAATGCTACGGCCAGACAAATCAGGGTTGCCAAATTGCAACCCTGATGGTAATGATGAAGATCGTTCGTGTACCTATTGACTGATGAGGCGTCATTAAAAGTGCCTTTCATTTTCAATGGATTACATTCCATTCCAACCATGGTATAACCAGTCGATGGATAACCCAGTAATGAGATATTTTTTTTAGTTTTCACATTACCTATAATCTAGTATGTACTAGTATATTATATAATCTAGTATTAAATGTATATTTAAAAACATATTGGGCAAGTATTTATGTGTATATATATATATATATGTATACATATACATACATCAATATCTGACATCAGCCAAGAAGTTATTTAGACTTTCTCAAACAAAGCTGCATGTTTAACTAACAAACAAAGACAAATGATATGCGTAATTATAATGGCTCTTTGGAAAAATATATTTCTTCACAATGAAATACTTCTATGCAACAAATTCCATTCACTCACCAAACTGTCTACTTAAATCATAAACCGCTACATGTATATCTTCATAATTACATTACAAAATATTTCAAAAACATACGTACACAACAACCCCTACAATAGCCATATTTCCTTTAATATAACTGTACACGACATCACGGCCTTTTGACACCTGGACTTGTTGCGAAATCGGCATTTTACCACCCTACCCGTTAACATCCGATGTCTGATACCACCCGTTTTTTATAAATTGACCTACCCCTTTCAGTCCATAGATATATCCATACCACCAACTTTTTTGCACCAGGGCCGTAACTACACATATACGATAATAGCTTTATACAACACCATACGATATACTCTTTATTATCAAAATAAACTTTCGTTACATTTAAGATATGTTTTGCATTGCATATTTGGTTGAAAAAGGACATATATATCAAAGAAAGAACATTTAAAAATATAAATTGATACAATACAGCAAATGTACAATAAATGTGAAGAATATCCTGTAAAAGCCAGATTAAATGTGGTCTGCATTAACATGAATGAATTTTTGAATCAATTTGTTTTGGAGCTATATAAGTCTGACTCTACCTGATGTATGTATTACAATATCCTGATGAAGAGTGTGAGTGGAATCTTGCATTGTGTGCTTAAACTTCTCTAATGATTAAGAATTACAAAGTTGCTCAAGTTCACAAACACTAAAGCTAATAGATATTGAGGCTCTTTTTATAATCCTATTAATCTTAGTTTTATCACTGACTTGTAAAAATCATATAATAACACAAGAACACAGTATTGATTTTAAAAATAACTAATGAGAAAAAAGACGAAACAAACCTTTTCATGCGATACAGAAAGTACATACGTTTATTGCATTTTATAAATAGTTCATTTGTATTTTCATCCCAAGTTAGTTTATTGTTTATGACGATTCCTAGGTATTTATGTTTTTCAACCACTTTAACTAATTCGTCATTAATGGTTAAATTATCATGATGCACAATTTTTTTACGGTAATCTACAATAATCTCTTTGGTTTTATTAACATTTAATATTAGAAAATTAACCTTACACCAATACCAAAAGACCAATACGGAGTAATATCATTATTTTTGACAAGCTTAACTAGACAGGTGTCGTCAGCAAATTTAAGCATTTACTCTGTTTTGGGGTAGAAATGTCACTGGCATATAGATAGAACAAAAGGGGTGACAAAACACTCCTTCGAGGAGCTTCTATTAGCTATAGTATTAAAGATAACTATTTGGCTCCTCCACTAAGAATGTCAGAAATCCAGAAGTTCAACTGGGCTACCCCAGGCATCTTGATAAACTAATCGGTAAGAATATGCGGTTGAATTGTTAAACATTGATTTGAAGTCGAGGAACAAAATCATGGCACACGTACAGGTACTCTCAATGGGCATCCACCTTTGTGAGTTAAATGTTGTAACAGCATCAACAACCCCCTTTTTCTCTGTACGCATATTGAAACATATCAACATTATAGTCTTAGTATCTTCATTTAAAATGATTTCACAATCAAAACATTTCATGGGACTAGCATTCAGAACAATATGGTCTATAATCAGTGCATATCAAAGGCTTCTCTACTTCGATATAGGAAATATTTCCATAGCTTAGGTACACAAGAAATATCTAAAAACCACTGGAACAAGAACTGAAATATATTACAAATTTGTGAATAACAGAACTTAATTACTTTATTTGAAACGCCATTATTCCCCGGATTCTTTATGTGAGTTGATTTTCCTACTTTTCAACATCAACAATGGTAACATTGATTTTGTTGTGACAATTGACAACCTTGAAAAGATGACTTCGGCGAAAGAGTATAAAGTATGTTTAAATCATTCGCTGAAATTGCAGTGTTCTGGAGTCCACAAGGCCGTATTTACTTACAACTCCGTTTTATTTACTGCATCCCGATCCATACATTCCGAATGTCACCATATTCAAATTTATCTTCGATTGTTTTTCCGATCACTGCTTTACTTACTTTTTAAGAATGGTTGTCCATAAAAATCAAAGATTTGGTGGCAGATGTCAAAAAATGGATTTCTCTCAAATTGTTACCATGAATAGATACTTGGGTAAAAAACGACCCATTATTTAAATTTTGGACATTTTCAGAAGTGTAAAAACACTGACTTTCAGACCTTATTTTAAAAAAAGAACATGCACTACATATATTTTTGTGATCATCCTTGTAAATAACCAGGTATTAACTTCCAATTATCTCAAAAAAAAAATTGTGTAAAAAATTCTGTTAGGAAGATATCATTATTTACAAAAGGGGGTTTTTCTCAAAATATATATATATTTTTTTTTAAGTATGCCTCAGAAACCTATCTGTAACTTCCAAAGTGGTGTATACATATCCACCATCTTCCATATTTTGGTAGTCAATAGTTGTCCAAACAATAATCAAGAAAAAAAGTTGTGGGTAATTTACACACGTGGATCCGGTATTGC